TAGGAATACGTTCCAAATGGATACACACATATGAATTTTTTTTATTCTGACCCTCTTGGTTTTAGTTCCATTCTGTGTCAAGAATGAAGGCTGAAGGTGGGACTAGAGATGTTACTATATTTTTTGTTTCTATGGGGTGGGGCAAGAAGGCAGGCTCCAGTGGTAATAAATAAATAAATAAATAAATAATTTGGGGGGGGGAACGGAAATGATGGGTTTGCATTTGGGACTATATGGAATAGATTTCAGGCTATCTTGGAGATGCTAATAAGTTAACTAAGATTGTCATTATCCAGTAATTTATTGCAAATTGAACTGGTCCAGAAAGCTTTGTATATGGAGTTCATATATTTTAATCTGCTCATAAAGTGACAAAATTCCAGGAGTTCATACTATTGGAGATTTCAGAAAAGAGTCCCTGTGTGTTCCCAAATATAATGCAATTTCCATACTAAATAGAGAGTTCATATTAAGGCTACCAGCAGTTGCAATATCTAACCATACATTTTAGGCATCTTCCATTTCTGATAATTTTACAGCAGCTTTGCATCCTACACACCTCAGCATATTTATTCAGGTGGGTGGGTGAGCCCTTCAGTGTTATTGTTGGAGTGTTTATCTAACTCTATGCTGTGCTAGATAAATCTCATTCTTTCCTCACTGCAGCCTTTAGAAACGTTTGGAAATTGGATCTGAAAGATTTCACAGACCTACAGATTGAGGTTTGGAGAAGTATGGATGGCTGCAGAAGAGAGGGAAAACTGTCCCCTTCTCATTGTGCATGTCTGTCCACAGACATCCTTCCCTCAATTTAGGCCATTATTAGTAACCCTTGAAGGTTGCAATAGCTTTCCCCTTCTCTTTTTTCCCATTTGGGAGAAGGGGTAAGCAAGGGAGTGTAAAGGAAGCTAAGCTCAGGAAATATTTTCTCATCAGAGATGAGAAGGTTGGGCTAAAAACTTTATCACACCTGACAAAAGAAATTGAGTAGATTCCAATCTGTCTGCAAAAAATAATTATCTTACTTATTTATATAAAGATATATTTTATTGTACCTCTTGGATGTGAAAACAGCAGATGAAACTTGTAAGTGGAAAATTGATAACTAAGGATGAAATTGTATGCTACAAGGATTCTGTCACTACAAAGTGAAATCCATTATTGTTTCTGGGATGTGATTTGGGCAGATCTCGATGACTGAACAATCATACTTGCAAAAAAGCCTATAGAAGACCTATGACAATATAAAGCAAGGTACTTTGCATACTGTGGGAGGTGTGAAAAAGTTCCATCAATCACGCATCTTTCAACACTTGAAATTACCTCTTCTGCTAACAGGTTTTCTGTAATGTACCCATGGCCATGAATTGATACAATTGCAGGCATACTTACTGGTGGAGTAAGATCCATTGGACTCTGTGGGGCTTATTGCTAAGCACTGCCTTTTTCCGTGTATAAAATGACATTTTTTCCTAAAATCATTAAAAAATTGAGGGTTGTCTTATATACAGAAGGAGGTGGAGGTAGAGGCGAAGAGGCAGCCATTCTTGGCCACCTCTTGCGGATGCCCATTGACTGCTGCCAGTGCTGCCAGATCGCCTCCTCCAGTGCCACTCGTGGGCTGCCTTTGGGCAGGGGACAAGGTGAGCTGGGGGTGGCGGCGGTAGTGCGGGAGGAGGCGATGGGGCAGTGGCAGCAGCAGTCAATGGGCAGCTGTGAGGGGCAGCCCAGCGTGGCTGCTCCTCCGCCTCCACCACCTCCTGCTCCTGCCTTGTCCCCTGCCTGAAGGGAGCCCACAAGTGGTGCTGGAGGAGGCAATTGGGTGGCGGTGGCAGCAGTCAATAGGCAGCCGTGAGGGGTGGTCCAGTGTGGCTGCTCCTTCGCCTCTGCCTCCTCCTCCTCCTCCTCCTGCCCTATTGCCTCTTCCAACACCACATGTGAGTTCCCTTCGGGCAGGGGGCAAGGCAGCGATGTGAGTTGGAGGTGAGCCCCAGCAGTGGTGCTGGAGGAGGCAATTGGGTAGTGGCAGCAGCAGGAGACAGTAACAAGCCTATTAAAGCAGAAACTTGAAGTCTGAGTGATTTTTCAGAGATATTATACTTAGGAAAGTCTTGTGCAAATCATTCTAGTTCAGTTTTCCACTAGAGGTCAGAGGGTGGCTTTGCTCCAAATGCAAACTTCCACATGGACACTAGCAACTAGTAGTTTTCAGCTGTGTGTGTGCCTCACAGAGTTAGTGGCTGTGGTGGAAAATTGATCTTTGTTCAAGAGAATAAAGCTAGAAGTGGTAGACTGAAGAGCTTTTCTTTTACACTTTAAAGCAATGGTCTCCAACCTTTTTCACCCCGTGGACCAGTTGGGGAAGGCGGGCATATACATGAAGGAGTGGAAGGCGCTCATGCACAAAGGGCGCTTGGGGCACTCGTGCACATGCACTAAAGGGTGGGGGAGCACTCACACAGGTACAGGCATGTGCACACATGTGCAAAAGGGCTGTGCGGGGGGAGTGCGGGCAGGAGGGAAGGTCTGTCTCCATGGCCTGGTCTGGCTCAGGCCGTGGACCAGGGGTTGGGGACCTCTGCTTTAAGGGATTGCCCCCGTAGATTCCTGCTACTAAGCAGGAAAGGTCTAAGAAATTAATGACTCTGAAAGGGTATGTTGGAGTTGTATGGTGGCCTTTCCTCTGGCATGAGGAAATGACCATTCTTAGTTATGTTGGACTCATCCTTCTACAATTCAAATCTAATACTTCGGTTGAGTCGTGGGGTATGTAATCCATCTGGGGAAAAACTGGGCAAACTGCAGAAGGCAATTTTAAAGCGCGCGCACACACACATACACAGAAAAGACTTTTAAAGGAGCCAATAATATTTTTTGCCATGAGGGGTCAATGCCAGCATAATTCATATGTCATGTCCTGTGTATTTCTGCGTACACTGTGTATTATACTATGCATTTCAAAAGTTATTTAATCAGCACATTAAGTTGAGAAGTTAAACAACTTCCAATTTAAACACTAAAAGCAACACATTAATCTTCCTATTTCTTATGTGTGAAGTAAATTTCAGATCTGACGTTCCAAGCATTGCCTTAATGTTATGATACTTGATGTTTATTACACTACTAGGAATAAGTTCCAAATGGATACAGACATATGAATTTTTTTATTCTAACCCTCTTGGTTTTAATTCCATTCTGTGTCAAGAGTGAAGGCTGAAGGTAGGACTAAAGATGTCACTATATTTTTTGTTTCTATATGGAGGGGCAAGAAGGCAGGCTCTCTGTTCATTCTTTATCCAGTGGTCACAGGGAACAATAATAAGGAAGATGATTTTTTTTGTGGCGTTAGCACAGAACCAGCCAGTCATGCTGTGCTTGTGCTGCTGAAGAGTCGGCAGATTCATGGGCCAGAAACTCAGGTTATCTTGCCTATTTATATAAAGATATATTTTATTGTACCTATTGGATATGAAAACAGCAGATGAAACTTGTAAGTGGAAAATTGATAACTAAGGATGAAATTGTATGCTACAAGGATTCTGTCACTACAAAGTGAAATCCATTATTGTCTCTGGGATGTGATTTAGGCAGATCTCGATAACTGAACAATCATACTTGCAAAAAAGCCTATAGAAGACCTATGACAATATAAAGCAAGGTACTTTGCATACTGTGGGAGATGTGAAAAAGTTCCATCTGTGACAATCACGCATCTTTCAACACTTGAAATTACCTCTTCTGCTAACAGGTTTTCTGTAATGTACCCATGGCCATGAATTGATACAATTGCAGGCATACCTACTGGTGGAGTAAGATCCATTGGACTCTGTGCGGCTTATTGCTAAGCACTGTCTTTTTCCGTGTATAAAATGACATTTTTCCCCTAAAATCATTAAAGAAAAAATTGAGGGTTGTCTTATACACAGAAGGAGGTGGAGGCAGAGGCGAAGGAGCAGCCATTCTTTTTTTTTTAAAACTTTTTTTTTATTATATAAATCCATCCATATCGGTTTAACATCGTGTCACCAGGGTACAGCTTATAATCATTTGTAAAACAACTACTACACACATTACACTCCTAATCTATACAACATCCTTCTAACCATTGATAGAATAAGTCCCATGTTTGATAATATTTTGTATCTTCTTTTCCTTTGATTTTCAGTGTTAGTCTGTCCATTTTGGCGCAGTCAAATATCTTTTTAATTATTTCTTGATCCGTAGGTGTTCCTTCATTTTTCCAGTACTGTGCATAAATAATCCTCGCCGCTGTTAGAATATGCAGTAATACAGGAGCAGCCATTCTTGGCTATCTCTTGCGGATGCCCATTGACTGCTGCCAGTGCTGCCAGATCGCCACCTCCAGTGCCACTCGTGGGCTGCCTTTGGGCAGGGGACAAGGTGAGCTGGAGTCGCGGCAGTAGTGCTGGAGGAGGCGATTGGGCAGTGGCAACGGCAGTCAATGGGCAGCCATGAGGGGCAGCCCAGCATGGCTGCTCCTCCGCCTCCACCACATCCTGCTCCTGCCTTGTCCCCTGTCTGAAGGAAGCCCACAAGTGGTGTCAAAATTGGGGGTCGTCTTATACATTGGAGCATCATATATATGGAAAAAGATGGTATTTAAACTACAGTAAATGAAATAATATTTGTTGCAGAAAAGTGTAGCAGCAGTGGGGATTTAGGTGCATATTCATTTTGCATTTGCATTCCGTAAAGCCAGCGACCTGTTAATTACACATACAAATGTACAGCAACCAAACAGAAGACTGTACCTATGGACATCAGTGTGTAGACTGCATAATCAAAAGTAGAAGATGGAGAAGTTCCATTCTTTCTGTGGAAATGACCAGAAGCAGACTGCTGTATGGATCATGAACTATTAATAAACAATCATTTTAAACAACCAGGAAAAAATACAAAAAGTCGATTCCTGTAGTCAAAAGAAAAGCCTAGATAGATAACTCAGCATTTCATATTGTTTTGGTTTCTTTATTCCACAGCGGCAGACTGTTGAGTTAATTCCTGTTACTGAAGTCCATTACTGCTATGCTGAGAAGATGTACCTTTATTATATCTACGGAATGGAGAACAAGGTCCATGCCCTGGACTACCCAGAAAGATATTGCTGTGGTTGTACCATCATCTGACCATGGAAAAAACTGCAAGGAGGAGTTCCGTTATGAAAAAACCTATTCTTATAGCCATGCTATTTACATGTGGATCTCAGAGAAAATATTTTATGTGCCCAGAGAGGGAATGAGAAGACACAATTATAACCATTAGAATCTCATTTTATCCTCTGGCATGAGGAAATGACCATTCTTAGTTATGTTGGACTCATCCTTCTACAATTCAAATCTAATACTTCGGTTGAGTCGTGGGGTATGTAATCCATCTGGGGAAAAACTGGGCAAACTGCAGAAGGCAATTTTAAAGCGCGCGCACACACACATACACAGAAAAGACTTTTAAAGGAGCCTACCTCTGGTTATTTTATGTGCCCAGAGAGGGAATGAGAAGACACAATTATAACCATTAGAATCTCATTTTATGTTAACAATCAGTAATAAATGTCCTAAGGTTTAGTCATCTAAAGTATCTTGTCTAGAAAAAATTATCTTATTTGGTGTATGCCATAGAAACTGGAACAATTCTGGAGTAATATAGATGATACCTATGGTAATATTCTATGTTGGTTCACTGATATTATTTTCCACACAACTTCAGTTGTTTTGGGATCTGTAGAAGGCATCAGTGAAAGCAAGGAAGTTATTAGATACACTCAGAGCCTTTTTACACAATATATAGAAATATGTAGCATGTATTTTATTCTCAAAAAGATTATACAAATCCTGACTTGCTAAGTTACATGGAGTTTAAAATACTTTGTCAATAGAGTGCATTATTACCAGTACAAGATCTTCTATGCCAAAGGCAATGGGTACTGTAACAGTTTCTTACTTTCCTTTTTCTGTGCACTACCACTAGATTAAGGAATGGATTGGGTTATAAGGCAGAAAGAAAACATCCTGCCATCTAACTGTGTAGAAATCTAGTAGTTCCATTAGCTGGAGAGCTGTATTTTAAAGAGATCCATTCTCTAGTCCTGTTCTCATGCATCAGTGGCTGAAACTCTGTTGTGTAAGAAACACAACTGTGGAAAGATGATGACATCATTGATTAGGGAAAAATTTCAGTAATTAAAAATTTCCTATATCTATCCTATGGTTTTTCTGATGTCTGTGTAATATCTTTCATTGTGTAGAAGCCAAGAAAGCTACAGGACAGAAGAAGGAAGTATTTAATTACAGAAAATCACCACTGGTCAATTATGTTACTGAAAGGAGGAACTCTATCTTGATTAAGAATTTCCTTCTTCTGTCCCACAGTTCTCCTGGCTTCCATACATTGAAAGAGGTTCCATACAATGAAAGCCACTGGATAGAAGTAAGGTTTTAATTACCGAAAATCTCTGTAGCATGTGTAAGTTAAATATCAGCATTTCAGCCATCATATTTATAGATAAAACAATATGGTAAACACAGGAGCAAGTATAAGCCTTTGCTCTGGTGAAAGCAAAACTATTTCCATATTCGTCATGGATACTTATTTCTGTGTGTCACAAAATTACCACAGTGTTGTGTTACAGACTGTATTTGCAATAGGTGAATCCAAGTTACTTTGCTTACCTGTGTTATCTCAAGTCTACCTTGTTTTTGAATTGGAGAAAAATAAATTAAGATTTTTATTTTTATTTTTGCTCGCTTATTGAATTTATTTTATATTACAATTGCAAATTCATTCTCAAATTGCTGATCTTTACATCTGCCACACACAAGAAAGAACTCTCAGTGGATTTTCAGGAAAATACAAACAGGCAAATAGAGAGACCCTTTGAGGGCAGACCATCCTAGGCGTCAAATTCTGACAGTAGTGGAGCCCAAAACAAGGATGTGTATCAGGAAATTACAAGGATTGTAACAGAAGAAATTGACATCTTAAACTGAATGTATAAAGGATGTTGTTGATCTGCCATATTGTACTGCTGTGCCTAAAGCTGAGTCTTGCTGACTAGGCAGAAGGCTGAAGTAATTCTTATGTGCGATGCCTTTGTTAGATCAGGATGGATATTGTAAAGCTAGAGGGCATAGAAGGAGGGAGGAAAGTAAAAAAAAATTATCCTGCACAGATATTGTGGTGTCATGACTTAACTTAAATAATGCTCCCAAATATCTTCTGTGCAAGATATCTGAAATACTCACTCAGGTCATTATGTGGAATTAGAGCAGGGAACTCTACCATCACTTAAGAAAGTCTGTTCCACCTAAGAACTCTGCATCCTCTTAACCACTAGCAATAGCTCCAATTTATATATTTTGCCTAGTGTGCCAACTAAATCTTTTATCCCATGTTTCTGAATATAGGGATTGCCACATGTCTATGTGCCTCTACTCTTAACCAGATAGAAACTATATAATTTGACAGAATGCACTGGGCAAGCCGAAAGACACTCCTCCCACTTTGGTTGAGGTAAAACCTGATAACTGAAGCTGACTGAACAGCTCCTTGTTGGGACATTAGTTTGATACAGATCAGAAAAATTTCTGGATATTTCTGTTTCTCTCTATTTCTAGTTCATCAATAGAAGTTTTTCCACAGAAAATCCACTTTATCTGATTTTTAATGGTGCAATGACCATCATTTTAGGGAAAACATCGTTGGAGATCAACCACTAGAGGGAGGCAATAGCTAAATAAATAAATAAGCAGGCCCTGGCTCCTAAATATCTACTTTTGTTGATTAGTTTGATAGAGAACCTACCAATGTGGAAGGTGGCTCTACAAATTTTTTGTTGGTCTTTATATACGATTTGTGTGTGTGTGTGTGTGTGTGTGTGTGTGTGTGTGTGTGTGTTGCACACATGGCCTATTCACATTCTTCTTTCTCAAACATTTGTATGGATATGTCCTGCTTGTTACTGTTTGGAACCACAATATGTGGTTTCAAAGTTATATATAGTGTATAGCATGATGCAAAGTCAAACTATCACTTCAAATTAAATGAAAATCTTTGGAGCGATGTGAAGCCAGAAATGGTAAATTCAGAGGTATTTGATGACCCCATTTGCCAAAACGGGGAGACAGTTCTCCCAAGCCGTTCACCAAGAGCCAGCCTGGCATAACAGACTGAGTGTCAGACTAAGACTCAAGTGCTTCTTATCTATGGAAAGTCATTGAGCTTGGCACTTCCTTGAATATCTCACATATCTCCAAAAAGAGGATTACAGTAGTACTAAACTGGAATTTCAGTTTTAAGAGCCACCCACACCAGACAAATGAAAAACTACATTACTGACAACTGTCTCCAGGCTAATTTTGTTTAACTGCCAATGTTTCACATGTGAAAATACCCGCTCTCTTGTAACAGGCTGATTTTCACAACTTGTGAATCATTACCAGGTGTCAGTTGATAGATCCTTGTTCTGAACATAAAGCAGCATTCTTTTGTTTCTAATGCAACAACAGTACAAGTCTTTTATCTAGGGCCGACCTTACTATCACGCACCATAAGGTAAGTATCTCAGACAGCAAATGTTACGAGATTGCTTGTGCTCATGAGATTCCTGGCTGTTTTCATCTCTTGGAGATCAGAGATGTGTTTACCATACATCTCAGTGGTCTGTTCCCTTACCTAGCCCGCCATAATAAAGGAGTGTAGAAAATGTGATAGAAAATCCTACAGCATTGCAAATGTTGGAGGAAGATCTCACTGTAATTTCAGTCATCTTGTGGAATGGAAGGAACACTGTCTCTCTTCCCTCTCCCCCGCCTTTTCTTCCTTTTTTAAAGTCAGGCACCAAACTGTCTTAATCTGACCCTATTGAAGCTTCTATAAACTAGCATCTGAAATTTACTACATTTTTGGCAGATGCCTACTTCCTTCTTTCATAAGTACAAGACAACACCTCTTTACTACAGTGGAGCCTCAACTTACAGACGGCTCGACTTACAGACTTTTCGAGTTACAGATTTCTCTGGCTGTAAAATTTAGGTTCGACTTGCAGCTGGAGAATCGACCTACAGACCAGAAAAAAAAAAAACAAAATGGAACAAAAACAGAGCAAAAACGGCCGGTTATGGATTAATCGGTTTTCAATGCATTGTAGGTCAATGGAGACTCGACCCACAGACTTTTCAACCTGCAGCCACTGTTAATACGGATTAATTCCGTAAGTAGAGGGTCCACTGTATCTAACACCATAGTCCTATGAGTGTCTGCTTGAATTGGATTTTACCAGGCCTGTTCCCTGGTAAGTGTGTAGGCTTGCAACTGAAACTGTTTTTTCAAACAAACGCATCTGAGCTTGGCACCTTTGATATGTCACTTTGCTTCCTACTGATGAAAATTATCGGGCATTCTTCATTTTACATTACAGTCTTAATCATATTTACTCAGGAGGCTTACTTCCAAATAACATTTGGAAGGAACATGAGCCGCTAGCTTATTAAACGAGGACAACTTTGATGGAGCTGAAGTTCAATGTGTATTTTATTCCAGAAGTAAAATCTAGCTTTACTAGTTATCTAAAAGTTCAGTGGAAGTTGTCTATAAAAACATTTGTTTTGAGAAGATATGATACAGCAGGGCTGATAATAAAGTATCTGAAGTTCAAAGGTACATACTGCGACTTGCAGAGACAGCATCAAAGGTCTGTTTTCTGTTATTTTTGTTTGGCAAATCAGTAAATTTCACAGTCTCTTCACAGAAGATTTAGAGAAATGAAAGTTGGGAGGAGAGTGCATGTATGACAGTAATTTGGCATTCCTTGCAGTCTATCCAAATTTAGCAGTAAATGTTGCTGGATCTGAAGACATTTCAATGTGAAATAAAATATTCTTTTTTAAAAAAGAAGTTGTGATGGTCATAAACTTGAATTCCTTTCTTACCCATATTGTTTTAAATCCAGCTCTATAAAAATGTACTTCAAAAGCCCTAGCAAGGCAATGTATTGGTTGAAATCCCAATGCTTTAGAGTAGCACGTTGTCCTACATTAGATCCACTGAATCCATGCGGATTTGGTGGGTCATCTCCATAGGTTCCATTGATTTAAATTGGGCTGCAGTAGTTGAAACTATGCTAATGCAAATCTCAACTAAGGTAGTCCCGTTTGAATGAATGGAACTTACAGAGGACATGACCTACCAAAT